AACTTCTGCGGCACAGGGCCGGCCCCCTTCTATTGCAGTCTTAATGTGGCCACAGGGGTGGGTTTGTTTGTGTGTTTGTTTGTTTGTTTGGAAGTAGCCCCTTTTTTTTTGAAGTCCAGGATGCTGCCTTGATTCTGGAGGGGCCAAGGACTAGCCCAATGTCCCAGATGTTTGGGAACCTCCAAGGGCCCTTTTCATGCCTATGAAGTGACACAACCCACTACCCACCCTACTCATGCCCCTGGTGCTAATGTGGGTCCGAGGAGGAGGCTGAGAAATTTCTTAGCCTCCAAACTTTGGACTGTCTTCTCAGAGTAGAGGATTCAGGAAGAGGTTGGCTTTCCATGTGTAGGGAAAGGAGAGTAGCAAACGAGCAGGCACTGTATCCAGGGCAGGTTTACAGGGAGGCTTGTCAGGGGAATGGTGGTTCAAGTACAAAGTACAGACAAGAAATCAAGAGGATAACTGAGTAGGAGTGAGGTGGCCACTCTGCCCTCAGAAAAACAGGAGTCTGAGTTCACAGGGAAGTGACTCTTTTAAATAACACAGGTGGGCAAGCCCCAGACATTACCGTAACCTTCTTTCACAGACATCCTTTTCACAGTGTTTCTTACACTTCTCCACCTTAATCAACAGTGCTGACCACAATTGATGCCTTTCAGACTGACTCAGGGCCACTACTCAGGCTGGCCATTGTGCATTGAATCTAGGTGAGGATGCAGGTGCAGCTGGAGGTAGGACCAGCCCTCAAAGGGCACCAACCACTAAAGAGTCCTCAGACTGTCATTTAGGTAAAAGTTTCACAAGTCAATTTTCTGTTGGCTCTTTGCTTCATTATTTCTGAGAGTCATTTGGTAGAAATAACCTCATCTTTGGAGTCTAAGAGACCTGGTTCTGGTTCCTGACTCTGCCACCTACTAGTTGCCAGACCTTAGGCAGTTTCCTAACTTATTTTGTTCCTGTTCGTTTATTCGTTCATTCAACATCTATTTCTTGAGCATCTTCTATGTACCAGGTATTAGTTTAGGTACTGGGGAGTCATCAGTGGAGGAAACAGAAGTATTCCTATCTTCAGAAATGTGTATCATAGCATGGGAGGCACAAAATAAACAACAAGCCTGATAACAAGATGATAAGTGCTAAAGTAAGAAACAGAGCAAGATAAGGGGAATTTAGGGTGTTGGCAGTGGTGGCAGAAGGGGCTGCAGTCTTAAATAGGGTCGGCAGGACAGATATGTTTGAGAAAATAACATCTGAGCAAAGACTGGAAGGTGGCGAAGGTGTTGGGCTGTTCCAGACGGAGCAAAGAGCCAGTGCAAAGGCCCTGAGGCTGAGGTGTTGAAGGAACAGCAACAGGCCAGCATGGCTGGAGTGGAGTGTATGAGAGGGGAGGGGCACAAGGGAAGAAGTCAGAGAGGTGATGGAAAGATAAAGGGGCAGATGACGTTGGGCTTTGTAGGCCATTGTGGGAACTTTGGTTTTTGCTCTGGTAAAACAGAGCCACTGAAGAGTTTTGAACAGAGTCACCTAATCTGACCTAGATTGTGACAGGATCACTCTGGCTGCTAGATTGAGAATAGACTATAGAGCAGAGCACAGGTAGAAGCAAGGAAATTAGGTATTCACTGAGCTGTATTCTAGGCAGAAGATAATAGTGGCTTGAATCATCATGGGTGGAGTGGAAGCGGTGAGAAATATTGGATTCTAGATATGTTTTGAAAGGAGAGCCATCAGGATTTGCTGATGGATTAGATGTGGAATATGAGAGAGAGAGCAGAGTCAGTGATGACTCCAAGGGTTTTGCTCTGGGCAGCTAGGAAGAAGGACTTGATGTCATCTGTGATAAGAAAGGCTATGGATGGGGCAGGTTTGAAGGGGAAGATCAGGAGTTCACTTTGGAACATGTAAAATGGGATAACAATATCCACTTTGCAGGGCTGTAGTGAGGATTAAGTAAGATAATATGTGAAAGTACTCAGCGTAGCACATAGCTAGTTCTCAGTAAATGTCACTTTCACTTTTCCTCTCTCATTTAGGTGGGTGTAACATGAGCAACTGGGGTCCTCCAAACCAATTTGACTAATTGCCTTTTGGTAGAAATAATAAGCCACGGGCCAGCCCCATGGCCGAGTGGTTAAGTTCGCGCATTCAGCTTCGGTGGCCCAGGGTTTGCTGGTTCGGATCCCGGGTATGGACCTACACACCGCTCATCAAGCCATGCTGTTGCAGCATCCTACATGGAAGAACTAGAATGATTTACAACTAGGGTATTCAACTATGTACGGGGGCTTTGGGGAGAAAGACAAAAAGAGGAAGGTTGGTAATGGATGTTAGCTCAGAACCAATCTTCCCCACCAAAAAAAAAAGAAGAAGAAAAAAAAGAAAGAAAAAGAAAGAATAAGCCAATCAGATGCCAAAACAGTCTCCTCCCAGGTGGTTTTCTCACCCTTCAGAAAACTTTCACTGTTGCTAACAGGGTCTTTCGATTTGTCAAAAGTTTCTCAGCAATGTTGACAAATTGATGTGATGATGAGTTTCTGTGTCAGTGGCACCTCGGGGCCCAGGCACCCCCTCATCTCTGCGCTCACCTTTTCCATGTCAGTCACTCTGCTGGTGTCCAGTGAGCAGGAGGCAAGACTGTCTCATAACAGTGAACAGAGATTAAGAGAAGGAGTTTCTCCAGAAGGTACACTTTTTATGATCAAGAGGTAGTTAGCTGACATAGCATTAGGTCACAACTTTCTCTTAGATCTTTGAATCATTTGACTGAATAAAATTGCTGGCGTGTGGCACATTACAGTTGCTGAACGAACCAAACAAAAATGGTCATACATGTATAATAAAGTTCTTCACAAAGGGTATAAATGTATATACTTGACTCTATGGATGGGAAAGGGTTGCCTGAAGGATGCTAACTAATGTGCCATCTCTGGATACAGGATACTTTCTACTTTGTTTGGATTTTTAACAATAAACTTATATCATTCTTAAGACAATAGAGTAATTTTTAAGAAGCCTCTGAAATGTTCAAGTAAGATTTGTGTGGCACCAGTCTGAAGGATCAGCTTTCTCGTGAGGTAATTTCAGTGGTTACATTGCTTTGTCTGAGGGTCAGCTTGACACTGCTGTAACCACAATGGGATAGGCCAGGTAGGGACACCTGGGATGACGACAACTTAGGAAAATAGATACCCTTCCTCAGAAGTGCCCAAACTTCCCTCTTCCTCTGAGGTTGGTGACTGCCTCCTCTCACTCAGAGTGAGCCTTTGCTCCAGGCAGAAATGTATGAACAACTCTAGATTTTTATTATGCTTCTGTACACTGGTTGATGGTGTGAGGGCTCCAGGTAAACATGAGACATCTTTGACAGCTCCAGGATAACAAAATCTTTGTATCCAGAAGTTCTACTTGAGAGCCACCTGTAGGACCGGCATCCGTGAGAACAGTGATCTCATCCTTATTCTGTTTAAATTCTGGAGATCGGTTCATGGGCGCCTGCCAGTGTGGGCATTAGCAAATGAATCCTAAATGCACAGGCTTCATTGGCCTGTTAAATAGTTCAAAAGACAGGCTAAGTTCCCACATGGTCTCTCAAGAAAGCTATCAAATTGTGCAAAAGCAGAGCGTTTGAGCCTTTGAGCCTTGGGGTCCTCTAGATTGGAAGCCCTAGTATTGTCCTGGCCAACAATATTTCCCTGGGCTCGTTCTTAGAGTCCAGAGCAGTCCAATTCTTGAAAAATGACACAATTCTCATACTCTCTGACCCTTGGGGTTTCACTGCAGGGTGCCAAACTGGCTAGGGGGAATATCAGTGGATGTGTCACAGACACTCACCCTGCCCCCACAAGCCACTGAGGTCTACTGATAGGAGTGACATCAATGGACCACTTTTGCCCCAACACTGAATGCTCCCAGAGGGCCTCTGCCTTATCCCTGATATTTCCATTATGCTGCAACCGTCCTTGCCTCTGTTTCTGCCCCCTTCATCTTGATACCCCAGCCCTCCTGCTTTGGTATCTATGGGCTTGGATGCTGAGTAGAGAGGAGAGCTCTCCTTGGTGGTGGGCAATGGTGTGAGCAGGTGGTGAGCAGTGAGCCTCTGCTGACCATTGACTATTCCTCCTCTTAGCAGCTGTCTTCTCCTGGCCCTATGTTGCTTACCTCTTGTCTAACACTTCTCTCTGCTCTCCCATGACCAAGAGCCCCAAAACTGTTCCAGACAGGCAGGACACCAGCTTGGGCACCTGATGGCCAACATGCTACAGCTTCAGTGAGCATCACCCTCTGGGTGTCAGCCTGGATCATGGCCAGGTCAAGGTGCTGAGTGGCAGGCAGTTGATGGGCAGCAACTATGGCATTCATGCCTCAAAGTTCTGGCAGTGTGAAGTATAGGAGCATCAGGCAGAAAGATACTTGCTGCATCTGGAGTCTAATTCCTCATATGACCAGCATCAGGATGGCCTGAGTGTGAAGACCTAGCCTGGCTGGATCAGGCCCCAGGGCTCCCTCGCCATTTATCCCCACTTCCTTCTGGATACTTCTGGCTCTGTCCAAGGGCATTTGGCAGAGGCCTCCCAAAGCCCAGGCCAGCTGAGGAGCAGAGGATGGGAAGGTTGAGGCCGGGAGCCTGCACCCTGCCTCCCTCCTGAGCTCCATTATTTATCCTCTATGCCCTGTGACCCCTTTCCTGACCACTTCTGCCCTTCCTTACCCCAACTGTCCAGTTCAGGCCATCGTCTCTGGCAGGGCAGTTATAACAACCTCCTCATTGATCCCCCTACTGACGCTTTTGGCTGGCACAGTAGCCTGAGTGATCCTTTAAGAATGCAAATCTAGCTCCTTGTCAGTCAGGTCTCAGCCAAATGTCACCTCTTCAGAAGGGGTCCCATTGGTTACTCCAAAGTCTCCATGCCATCATCTGTTTTATTATCTTCATTGCTCTTGTCTCTGACATGATCTGGGGAATTCTTTTGTTTACTACTTTACTGTCTCTGTCCTAGAATGTAAGCACCAAGATGGCAGAGAATCTGTCTTGCTTCCCGCTTGACTCTAGTGCCCAGAGAGTGCCTGATATATGGTAAGTAGGTGCTCAATAAGTATTTATTTATTGAATGGATCATTCAATCCATCCATCTATCCATCCTTCAGAAGCGCTCACATTCCAGTCACTGGGCTGTTCGGTAGTCCTTCGAGTGACCTGGGTGCTGAGTGGAGAGGAGAGAGCCTCTCCTTGATGGTGACACAGTATGAGCCTGCTATGACCCTGGGAGATGGGACAAGGGCCTCTTGCCAGGGTGGCAGCCAGCCAGTAGGCCACGTGTCTCTTTAAAAGCAGCAGGAAGCCAGGCTCTGAGATTAGAAGTGTGACTGCCAGTGTGATAAATAGGGAGAGAGGGCCAGAGGGTGGAGAGCTGGGGATGCCCAGGCCTTTGTGGCTGGCCAGCCGGCACCACACGCTTCCTGTGTGGAACAAGGAGAGGAGATCCCCTCTGAAGGCCCTGGAGCTGGGGCTGCCCCCAGTGCCTCATTCTTGTCCTCACTGAAGTGGCCAAGACGCAGGGCTGCTGTCCTTCACATCTGCCACTCACTGACACTTGGGGGCCTGCCCTAGGGCAGGTGTTGGACCCATGTGCTCTTTGCCCTGGCTCCCTAGGCTCTTCTGTGTTTTAGTCTCTCTGTTAGTAAAATGGCTCCACCACACTGCTGGTTGTGAAGAGGCTGAGATGTCTGAGAGGAGGGTCTTGTTGGGAACTGGGGGCTGGAGGCTCAAGGAGGAGTGAGGCTCCAAAAGGCTGAGATATGAGGTGTGAGAGGCAGCCCTGGGGTCGTGGATGAGCCAGAATAAGGCTCACACTGAGGGTCCTGAGACAGGCACAGGGCAGACACTGAGAAGCCCCCAGCTCTACTAGTCTCCTGATGCTACATGACAAAGTCCTGGCAAACCTCAGTATCTTATCCTGGCTGGTTCATGGTGAGTGGTGGGGAGGGTAATGGAAGAACACTGGCAAGGGTTCAAGTGCCATCTCTGCCACTCTCTGTCTATGTGACTCTGGACAAGTTATCTCTCTGTTCGGAGCTTCAGTTACGCCATCTGTGAAAGAGGGGTTTATGGGCTCACTCTCTCACATGAGTATGGTGAGCATTAAAGAAATGATATAAGTCATTCCAGTGACTCTATGGGCTGCAGCTCTGCACTCCTACCAAGGTCATCTTCTGGGGTGGTGATGGTAGGGGATCTGTGGACATAAACTAAGGAAGCCAGAAAACCGCTGTCCTGACTCAGTGGCTTGCCCCACCCTGGCCTCTGGCCCAGATTCTGGAGGCCTTAGTCAAGGGGTGGGGGTCGGAGCTGGGGTTTCCCTGTAGGTCCCATGGGACAGAAGCATTGTAGCTTGCTGGAAAGCCCTCAAAAGAGCTGGATGTAGCCCTGCCTAAGAAGAGCTCAAAACTGCCAGAACGGACGGATGGACCAGTTGGACTTGCCCCTTGGGGAAACCCAGGCATGAGCTGGCACTTGGACCTGAGTACAGTTCCTGTCCATCCTGCTCCAATGAGGCTCTGGGGAAAGCTCAGAAAGGGAGGCTGGGGTGATCTTCAGGGCCAAGGGCTGCCCTCTCCTGAATCCTGCTTGACATCTAGCCTGTCCAAAGGTCCCAGCCCCCAGTGCCTGAACTATCCAGGCCTCCTCCACTCACATCATCCCCTCATTCCCCATCATTCCCTCACCTCCCCTTGCCCTAAGGCCCCTGCCACCAGTTGCCACCTCACCCCATGCAGACCTTCTCTCTCCAGGATCAGGGTGTTTTCTGACCTCTTGCTCTTCCCTGCCTCCATGGCCACCACTCCTGGCTTCCTCCCTCCTCTGTGATCGGTCTTCATGGGCCTCTTCTGCAGCTGCCTCCTCCTCTGCCCACCTTCTAGATTTCCAAGTTCCTTGACGCTTGGTCCTTTTTCTTCTTGGCTACACTAGATGTCTCAAACTTATGGTCTAAGGGCCAAATCAGGGCCTGCACCCTCCAATCAGAGTCCCTGCCTTTTTTTAATGTGTTACCCGACAAACAGCACCTCAGACTCATGGTATTCCCAAGACATGCTTCTGCATGCCTTTCTTTGGGGAGAAATTCCACCATTATGAAGCCACCTTAACTATGAGCTATGGGGCCCAGAATTCTCCCATCTGGCTTCAGCCCCCACCCCAGTGTCAGCTTATCCCTGCTGTGCCTCTCACCAGGCCTCGCTGTGAGTGAAGGGCTCTCTCTAAGGCATTCTACCACAGGCATCTTCTTCCCTACCCCTTTGCCACCTGACAAATGACTCCTCCTCCTTCCTTCAAAGACTGTCCTGGGACTACCTGCCCAAGGAACTATACCTAACTCCCCTAGACCCCGACCAGATGGGGCTGAATCTGCTTCTTGCCTGACAGGTGTCTCTGGTACCTGGTGGTGAGGTACAGTAAGTGCTCAATATTAGGGAGAGAGAAGGATCCTGAAGTCATTTCTCCTGAGGAGTTGGGTACCTGAGAACAGCAAAGTGAGGCTTTCCCTGGTCTTATATGTCCCAAGACGGGGAGAGGTTTATGCTAAAGCAATAGATTCTTCTTCTTTGGTTTTTTTTTTTTTTTTTTTGGAGGAAGATAAGCCCTGAGCTAACATCTCCTACCAATCCTCCTCTTTTTGCTGAGGAGACTGGCCCTGACCTAACATCCATGCCCATCTTCCTCTACTTTATATGTGGGACACCTACCACAGAATGGCTTGCCAAGCAGTGCCATGTCCGCACCTGGGATCCAAACCGGCGAACCCTGGGCTGCCGAAGCAGAACGCGTGCACTTAACTGCTGCACCACTGGGCCGGCCCCTAAAGCAATAGATTCCAAGGGGGGATTTCTAAGCATCAGGCTTCTGACCCATTTGCCCAGGGGCTGGTTTTGTACATGGCATTTTGAAGGTGGTGTGGTGGATGCTGTGATATGCAGCCCAAATCCTCATTTATGAATGAAAGATTTATTCTCTCAGCTGCTGGAAGGGCTACCAGAAGAAAGCCTCAGCTGTCAGCCCTCTTTGGGGCGCTTGCCTCTGCTAAAGAAAATTGCCTTGTGTAAGGTCACACCTGCTTCCAAGGGAAGCTCACGTCTGGTGACTAATAAATGTGAGGGTACAAAGGCACCGCTCCTTTCTCCGTCTTCGGAAAACTCTGAATGATCGTTCCAGGAGGGCTCTCTGGGCTCTGCTGGAACATTTGTTGGAAGTGCATGGCAGCTCAGCTTCCCTCTGCCTAATCCTGCTTCCAGCCTCTGTTTTCTGCAGGTATTGATTCTAAGAATTCTCCCTTATAAAGGTCCTGATGCTAATCTCTGACTTAGAGTCTGCTTCCCGTGGCACCTAATCTGTGGTGTTTGGTTCCAGGAGTGATAAAAAAAAAAAAACCTTAAGATGGGATTTTGGATCACCTACCATCTGGCTGCCAGTGAGGACCCATGCCTTCACAGTTGACAGGTGAAGCACAGCCTCTGGCACAAAGTAGTAGTGCAGTTGTTAAAACTTTCACTCCTGTTGGAAGAGAATGCATTAGCTGGTGCAATTTATCAAGTATTTGAGAAATGTGGAGGAATTAGTTACTCTAAGGACAATAGAATTGGGTAACTATGGCTAAACTTGATTGACTCTGAGAAAAAGATAATGAAAAGCTTAGAGTGATTAATTGGCAATTAAAAGCTAAGTGTGAGAGCCCTAGACCTCCTTGGTGTATATAAAGAGCTCTCATCTCTTGCATGGAAGAGAATGAAAAAGCCAAGAATCAAGCCCAGAATTTAGTTATCAAGATAGTTAAGCTCCAAAGAAAGTTAAACTCCCAACCAAGGCGGGTCTTCTATCCCAAGGTCAGAGCCCTTGTTGGGAAAGAATGAGACCCTCTGAGATGGGGACAACTGTAGCACCTAAATATCTTGCATCCTCAGATTTCCCTGTACCCTCTGAACCTGTGTAAGTGGTCCATTCTTCCCTACTAAGAGTTAGGGACTCTAACTCTTGCCTAACTGAAGATGACGCAGAGGCCTCTGTCCTGTAGGACATCTTCTCTCATCTTCCCAGGATCTGCTTCCACCCCCACTCTTGGCTATTAGGCCAATAACTAGAATTAAGTCACAACATAACCTGGACAGAGATGTGTGGGACCTGCTAAGGGAGAAAAGGATATACACCTCAAAGAAAATGCAGGAGCTAGCCAGCAAGTACTAGCAAGAGTTGGGAAAGTATATACAGGACTGGATTCTGGATCAAAGAGATGGAACAGAAATTTGGATAAGAGTTTCTGGACATGAGATCACTCTCTAAGGATACAGTAATAAAAACTGTGGCAAGGACCCCAGGAAATGGTGCCAATACACCATTAGAATGTTTCCTAGAAGCATGGAAAAATAAGTGAGATAGATATGTCAGAAGTGCTGTGGCAGATTGTGGAGGAAGCAGGTATGCAGGAGTGGATATACTAAGCAAGGTTGGAAAACACACCCAAGGGCCCAGAAGATAGCAAAATAATAAGGAATGTGCTGGGAAGAAGGGCACTAGCATCACTAGGAAGTAAAAGTGATAACTGTCTTCTATAGGTCAGGAGTGACAGTAGGAGATGTTGTCACAGAACTGAACTCACTGATGGCAATACTGCTCATTCTGTACAATCTCAATCAATCAAGGATGATGAGTCCAGTCACCCCAATCAAAAGTCCCTTGCCAAGTTTCCAGATCTGAACCAGTTTTCAGATTCAGAACACACTGATTGAAGAAGCAGCCAGACCACCTGAAGGGAGGATCCCACAACCTCACAGCAAGGTGCGTGAAAATGATTTTCCCCAGCCCTTCCCCAAGGAGACTTGTTTTGGGTATTTATTTGGGTAACTTTAGATACTGGGAAAAAGAGAATACTGAGATGTTTCAAGGACTATTGCACAAGATTTGAGCTGAAATTGTTGTCTGGAGACCTGAAGTAGCAACAAGACTCTCTTGTTAGAGTTGGAGGCATATGTAGTTCCGATGATTGATAGATTCTTGGCCTGAATCCTGCTCATAGCAGACCCTCTAGGTCCACAGACCCACCCAGTGATATAATTGGATAAATGCACTTGATGATTAGCACAATCCCCTACATTGGGTCTTTGGCCTATGTGGTGAGAGCTATCATAGTGAGGAAAGCTAAGTGGAAGCCTCCAAAACTTCTCCCTACTCCAGCCAAAATAGTAAATAAAAAACTTGGCCTCAAGCACAGTGTGTGGCCACTGATCTGGTGACTCCATTTTTCCCACTCTTACCAGAATAGTTTGCATTCACTCGGAACAAATAATAGTATAAATTTCCAGGGCTAGATTATCTCTCCTTCCCTCTGTCATAATATAGTTCCAAGAAGTCTGGAACATCTGGACATCCCAAAGAACATCACACTGGTGTACTCTATCAATAATGTTATGCCAATCAGACAAGATGATCAAGAAGTGACTGCCACTTCGGCATAAGACACGTGCACTCCAGAAGATAAGCCCTATTAAGATTCAGAGCCTGCCACATCAGTAAAGTTTTTAGGGATCCAGTGGTCTAGAGCATGTCAGGAAATTTCCTCTGAAGTGTGGGAGAAATTATTATATCTTGTACTTCTCACCATGAAGAAGGAATCACAATGTTTGGTAGACCTCTTAGGGTTATGAACGCAACCTATTGCATACCTGGGAATATTACTCTGTCCCATACACCTGGCAGTAACATAAAAGCCTGCCATCTTTGTGTCGTGCCCTAGGCAGGAAAGGGCTCTGCAGCAGTTTCAGGCTATGGTACAATTAGCCCTGCCATTTGGGCCATATGAATCATCAGACTCTGATTTAAAAGGTATCAGTAGTGGGAAAATATGTAATGTCCCTAGGGTTCTGGAGCAAGACCATAGCATCTGCACTGGAGAATTATACACCTTTTGAAAAATAGCTCCTGTTATACTGCTGAGCCCTAGTGGGACTGGAGGGCCTGATCGAGTGACCATGCAGTTAGAACTACCTGTGATGAGTTGGTTTCTATTGGACCTACTAAGCCATAAGGTCAGGCAGGCCTAGCAACAACCCATCATCAGATGGAAGTCATGCATCTGGAATCAAATATGAGCAGGATGGGAGGGCACAGGTAAGCTGCACAAACAGGTAACCCAGAACCCCATGTCATCCACCTCCATGGCACCAGAGCCTCTCCCCCAGCTCACACTTATGGCTGCGTGGGTGATCCCCAGCTGATGGAGGAAGTAAAAGTCCAAACTTACTTCACAAATAGATCAGATCAATACGTGGCTCAAATAAAAAATGGTTAGTAACCCCACTATAACCCAGTCAGCAGTGACCTTGAAAGATGATAGTGAGGACAAATCCAATGGGCTAACCTTCAGGTACACCTGGCCATTGATTTTGTGTAGAGAGGTAGTCTGAAGTTAAAATATATAGGGGCTCATGAGCAGTGGCAAATGGCTTGGCCAGTTGGTCAGGGACCTGAAAGGAGAAAGACTGGAAGACCTTGAACAGGAAGTCTAGGAGAGAGGCATGTGATGGATAAATGTTAATGGCAGGAGGTATGAAGAGCTTCATATTGCATGTTAATACCCACCAGGAAGCATACCACAATGGAAGGGGTACAATAATTGGGCAGACATAATGACTCTTCCAGTTGATATCATCCAGCTTCTATCATTGTAGCCCAGTGCTGGCTCAGTGGGTACATGAATGGAGTAGCTATGGGGGCAGGCATGGAGGCTATGCATAAGCCTAATACCGTGGGCTCTTACTTACCACAGTTGATCTAGCTACTGCCACTGTTAAATGTCTAGCCTGCCAGCAACAGAGACCAACCCTGAGCTCCAGGTACAACACTGACTGTGCCTCAAGGAGATCAATAGGCCGCTGGGTTTCTAATTGACTACCTTGGCCCTCTTACACCCTGGAAGGGCCAGTGATTCATTTTGAAAAAAATAAATAGACACTCCAAGTATGACTTTGCATTTCCTATCTGCAGAACCTCAACCAAACTGCTATCCAAGGACTTTCAGAGTTTTGATCCACCCGCATGGGATCTCATTCAATATTATTTCAAACCAAGGGATCCATTTTTCAGGAAAAATGTAGAGGAGTGTGTCCATGACCATAGGGTCCACTGGTCATATCACATATGGCACCATCCAGAAGCTGTCAACTTGATAGCGTGCTAGGCAACAACTTGTTGAAGGCTAGCTTGGGAGTGGTAGTTTACATGGATAATGAGCCATCCTCCAGGACACAGTTCTCCCTATAATTTGAAGACCCTTATATGGAGCTGTGTCCCAAGAGGTATAATACAAAGGTCTGACAATCAAGAGATAGAAGCAGTAATGGCCCCTTTTACCATCATCCCAATGATTCACTTGGGAAATTTGTGCTTCCCATCCCTGCAACTCTTGGCTCTTTGGGTTTAGAGATCCTAGTTCCCCAGGAGGAAACACTTCCATCAGGGACCACAGCAAAAGTCTCATTAAACTATCAGCCAAAGCTGCCGCTAGGGCACTGACCTCCTGTGTCTAGGGACCAGCAGTAAAGAAGAGTAGTCACCATCTTGGCAGGGATACCTGAGACTGATCATCAGAAGGAGGTAAGGCTACTGCTACAGAGTGCTACACAGTGAGATCCACTTGGGTGTCTGTTTGGTACTCCCTCCCCCTATTTTGTCAGTAAAGGGACAAGTGCAGCAACCCCAGCCTACAATGAAATCAGATCAGGAATCTAGTCTGATGACAAGGATGACAGACTGCGTCATGCCACCAGGGAAGCCTCCAGGATCAGCATATATGCTAACTGAAGGTGAGGGGGAATCTGGAATAGATAGTAGAGGAGGATAACAATTGTGAGCTTGAGATCAGCTACAACAGGAGGGGCTGTGGTTCATTTCATTAATCTTCCTCTTCTAAGTTTCCTTCAGGAATAGAAGCCCATCAGAATCATTAGTGTGCTGGAGCTGACTCAGTCTGACTTGTGAGAGTCCATTGCTAAATTTTTGCCATCCAGTTTTTAAACCATTAGAAGCTTCAAATCAGCCCTGGTAGGAGTATTTACACCATGACAAGTTACAAATGTTACCAATCAAGGTTTGGCGTGGGTTTTTTTGGAGAGCCAGTTGTTAAACATGTAACAGCACAGCACTGGAATCCTGGAGAACTGTGGCAAGTGGTTACATGAGGAAGTGGATCCTGACAGCTCAAGGGGTGGACTGTGGTGGACGTGATGGTATGCCATCCAGAACGCCCTTCAGGAGTCAAGGGCTTATTCCCCCAGTTTAGGAGTGCTGTTGGAGAACAGCCCTTGGGAGGCAACCCCCCTTTTAGTGCATTTCCTTGGCTGAAAACAGTTGCCATGCCTAAAGTCATACCTCCTTGTAGGGACAGCCTACATCCAATTAATAATCAACATGGAGAAATAAAGACTTGACCTCCTCTTTGCCCCAAGAACTCTGAAAGACCATCCCAGCTCTAGAACTCTCTTTTGGGTCAACTGAGCCTTTTGTTGTAACTGCATTGAATTCTGCTTCTTTCTCTGTTTGGTCCTGCTTCCTTCCCTCTCCTTCCACAAGCAATCCTGCATGCTAACGTCTGTCTCAGAGTCTCCAACCCAGGGATTAAACCTGAGGCAGCCAGCCTGGTCATGGTTTTAGCACAAAGGTCCCGTCAAGGTAGAAAAGTCTCATTCCTTCCCAGGGGGTTCTTGGACTCTATACACCCAGAGCTGAGTACATCCAAGTCAGCCTCAGTCTCCCTACTTATGAAAGGGGCTAATTGCACCATCCTTGCCTGGCCTGGAGTCTCTCCCCTTTGCCAGGACCTTTTAGGCTCTCAGGTTTCCAGGTCCTGGAGGTCAGAGGGGTGAAGGGATAAACTGGCCAATTGGAGCTAAGCATCCTCTGATAACTGTAGGAGCACTGGACTTCAGCCTCTACCTGGCACTGTCTGCTGTGCCCACAGAGTCTGGACTCACGTCGTCCCTAAGAAGACGTTTTCCAGGACAAACAAGTCCACCAAGTTGTGAGTGGGTGGCCCCAGGAGCAATGTTGTGAGCCTTTCCCTGTCCCACAAGGTTGGAAAGGGGAGGCAGGGACAGGGGAATGGATTGATTCTTAAGTCTGGCTCCAGGGACAGTGAGGGCCACAGCCTGATCCCTTACTGGGAATCACGGGGTAGGGGGAATTGTGGCCCTGGAAAGAGTCCCTCAAAGCTTCTGATCACAGTGCCAAGAAGGAGAAACTCTGAGAGCCTCTGGGGCTGAGCTCAGGATAGAGCTGCCACCTTTCACCCTGAACAAAGCAGCAGCTGTGTATTTGTCCTTGGCAGGGATTCTAAGTCTGTCTATCCATCAGCCTCTAAGTCTATCAATTTGTCACTGCCACTGTCCCCAGCTGATCTCTCCATCTACCTCTTCGAAGCTCTGGCTGGATTTATCTGTCACTGTTAGGGACTCTGTCAGTGTCTGTCCATTTGTTACTATCAGGAGCCACGAGCTGTGTCTACCTGTCTGTCACTGTCACAGGCCTGCTCTAGGTGTCTGCCTGCCTGTGACTCCTAGAACTTCAGACTGGCTGACTCTAAGGGAAGGTGCTCCTTCCTACCACAGGGGTTCACAGTAACTAGGGTGTCCAGACCCATGGCCATGCCTGAGGTTTTTGTTTGGTCATGGAGCCCAAGGTTGTGTCTCTCTGTCCCTGAGCTTCGTAGGCATAGGAGCCTTTGGTGTTATTGTGGCCCAGGGTATGGCCTGAGGCTCTCAGAGCTTCCTCTGATTTCTGCTTAGGTTCCAACACTGGTTGGTGTGCATTTTCAGGGGTTGGACTGGTGAGAGGGGGTATTAGGGTCTTTCTGAGTCACAGCCCTCTGTACATCTGTGCTGGATGCAGCCCTGCCCCCAGCCTGGGGAAGGCTAGAGCTTCTGTTTCAGTTGAGGACCTGGGAGGGGCCCACAGCAACTGCCCCAGAGAGATCCTGGTGGGAGAAGGAGCCTGAGGGGGTCAGTCAAGGAGAGCTTCCTGGGGTGTGGGGGAAGAAGGAAGACTATGAGTTATCGTATAGTTTCTGACTTGAAGCTGTGGCTCCAGCAGCAGTTGCTGTTTGCCTGGCCTCCCCTCCCAGCACATGAAATGACCCCACCCTTATCTAGCCCGGCTGGCGGGAGAGGCATAGGCTGGAGCCAGGGCCTCCAAGGAGAGCTTGGGGCTGCCCCAGGCTCTGGGCAAAAGGAAGTGTGACACATTGCCAGAGAGCTGAGCTTCCCTCCCTTCTGCTTCCTTTCAGATAGTTCCCAAATCCGTTAAGTGGGAAAGGGAGCAGCCAGTTGTGCTGGTGTTGGATTCCTCGGTCACGCTGGCTCCTGAGTGGCCCAAGATCATCCTCTTGGCTCACCTCTCAGACGCTGTTGTTGATAAGGGTAATGATAACATTCCTGGCTGTGTACTGAGTACCTTATAGCCTGGTGCTGATCTTTGTCTCTAGAGCATTTTCTAAACTTTGGGAAATTTGTGCTGCCTTTCCATCCTGACTTCCATAAAATCCACGTGCATTTCTTTTAATTAGAGGCAAGAAGAGGCTCACTCATCAGACCCTGGAGCATAGCCACTGCTGGCACCTATGCAGTGAGGGGTCCTCTCCAGACCTGGAGGATAAAGCAGTAGTTCAGAGCAGGGACCCCACAGTCCCCTGAGGGGCAGATGATAATACAGCCCCGAGACCCAGGAGGCTGGCAGGCATACCCCAGAGTAAGTGGTGAGGAGGAAGATGCCCCAGTAGAGGACCTGTCCACCACTCACTGGACACTCTTCTACCCCGTTGCAGGGACAGATGTCAGCCACTTGGCTGGGGTGCATTCCAGTCACAGAGGCCAGGGGATGGTAGGAAAGCTGTGGCTGGTTTGTGTTCCTGTGACCCACTGCTGCTGTGAGGGAGATAGGACTGTGAGTAGTTAGGCTGGAGGGGTTTGCAGGGGCCATGAGGGCCAGAGTGGCAGGGCAGGGTCTTAGGCCAGACCAAAGGGCTTGGAGTTCAGGCTGAGCCAGCAAGCAGCCCATATGGGACTCAGCCAGACTAATCCCCTAAAATGTAAGCACCTCAAGGGTGGGGTTCCTCCAGAGTCTGGCACAGTTCCTGATACTTCATAAGCACTCAGTAAATATTTGTTGAATGAATTAATGGGTGCATGACTCCATCCGGCTGCCATGGTGAGAGAAGCAGGAGGGGTCTGTCTAGAGACGTGTGGACAAGGGCTGCACTCCACAATGTACTAGCAAGACACCACCCACATCCATGTCAGACTGGGCCCTTCTTGAGCTAACTCTTGCAAGAAGGTGACGCTGGAGGTGGAGGCAGCCTCTCCACAGCTCTGGCAGCGCGGGGAACTGGCGAGTAATAAACTGGCTAACTTTTGCTCTTATCAATGAACGTGCTTCACTGCAGCCTGCCCAAGCCAAGCCCCAAGGGCAGGCCCCATGGCCCTGTGAGCAAGGGCTGACCTTGACCCAGGCTTAGTCAGATTTGGGCTTTGTTTCCCCACAATTAGCTTGTCAGAAGGCATCCAGTTGGGCAAGACTGAACAATGTAGAGAAGAATTTCCAATAATGACGAGGACCTTTGGGAAGCAGCTTCAGATCATGTGAAGGGAGGGAGAGATCCATTATGTGATGGACAAGCAGTGTCTACAAAAGGTGGAAAACCAACAGCAGTGTTGTTTATAAAAGACTTTTCCTTGGAAAAATGTTTGGCAGTACCTACTAAAGCAAAAATATGTGTATCCTATGACCCAGTAATTCTATACCATTTCCAGTATTTCCAACAGAAATGCATACATATGCTCACCAAAATATGAGTATAAGAATGTTCATCATATCTCTATTAATATTAGCCAAAAACCAGAAACAGCTAAAATATCCATCAGCAGTAGAATGGGGAAATATCTTGTGGGATGCAATGGAATACTACACAGGAGCAAAAAAGGACAGATGACAACTACGTACAACAGCCAGAAAGAAGTGCACAGACATAGTGTTTAACAAAAGAAGTCAAATTAAAAGAAACCATAGACTATGATTCCTCTTAAATGCTGTTCAAGAATGGTCTAAACGAATTTATGGTGAGAAGTTGGAACAGTGGCTCTACGTAGGGGGATGGAGGCTGACTAGGAGGGAGAAAGCACAGGAGGTCTTTGGGTGTGCTGGGAAGTATTCTATATCCTACTCTGCATGCTGGTTATAATGGTGTAAACATATATAAAAATTCACTGAACTGTACACTTGAGATTTGTGTACTTTATAATAACTCAATAAAAAATAAAAATAAATTTTATGAAGGCTTTTCCCCACCTCCAGAAGAACCGCAGATCTTGAAATGCCAACTTTCCCCTGGGGTGAGGGCCCAGGAGGTGTGTTTGAGGACAGAACCTGGGGAGTTTGTGCTCATCTTCCCTTGAAGTTGTGAAAAAGGAGAGGGAGAAAGGTTTTTCAATTAATCATCTCTCAGGTTGAAAGAGCTGGTCTGGGCCAGAGATAACATCAGTGGCAGCAACATAAAACTGTTTCACTGTTCTTATCTCAAACCACAGTGAAAAATAACTTGTGAAGCTGCATCTTTCTTAGCAGGCATAGCTTAGGGTCTCAGAAGGGAAATTGCTCAGTTGTTTCCAAGGGCGAGTCTGTGCCCAGCAGCCTTCTGAGAACCTGGGAAGGGGCTTTTGTGGGGCCAGCCCTGAGGATTCTGTCTAGCTCACCTCCTGGGTGGTCCTGAGGAAGTCCTGGGCCTCTCTGGGCCTTGGGAGCAGGAAGCTTCCAGCCCTGATAGTAGGTGAGATGCCCCCTCCTCATGCCCAATTTGCATCTTGGGGCTGACCTTGCTCTGACCTGCTGTGCAGACCTGGATGCCATGAGCATTCTGGCCTCTCCTCTCCTCAGAGGAACAGAGCCAGCATCAGGACACTCTTGGCTCTGCCCTAGGCCTCAGGGCAACATGGCTCTGTGTCTGTCGGAGCCTCCTTGTGTCAGGGCAGGCTGTTCTGGGACTGGGACCTCTCTGTCCCTGCCACAACCCCACTTCACAGATAGGGACCAGGAGGGACCTACCTGCCAGTTTGCTTATTTGTAAAGCCCATGTAACAAGGTGGAAGGGTCCAGGGCAGGAGCTGCTGGACCCAGAATGACCAGCCATGTGCCTTCAATACAGACAGCACGTGCTCAGAAGTTGAGGCTGGCACAGTATATGCCTGGTCCATGCAGCCCCTGCCTTCCAATTCCAATCATATACACCCTGAATTCCCAAGCATATACATGTGCAGGCAGCCAGGAAGCTAGAGGAGTAAGGACTCAGGAACATGGCACACCTGTTTTCCAGGGCCAGTCCTGCCCACTTGGGGCTGTGTGGTGCAGGTCAGATGTGTAGACCCCATCTGTGACTCCATGCAAAGGACAGTTGTGAGGTTAATTGGGGATGCCTAGACAGTACCTTGCACCCTCCAGGCCTACACCATGAGCTGTCCTACCTGCCAAGGAAGAGCAGACAGGCCTCTTCTGCTGCCCATGCTATCTCAGAGAGAGGGTACCAGTGCCCTCGGCTTTGAGGAGAGCATCCCCTGTTATAAGCTGATCACCAGCATCTTGGCTGAACAACCATCTTGGGGAATCAGTTAATACACTGCAAGCCACCGCCGAGAACCCTGTTTAGCTGGGGACACTGAGGATGCAAATTTTCTGTAAGCAAGGGAACCGTATGATGCCTGCTGACCTTGGCACTCAGCCTCTCTCCTTGGATCCGGCCATGGCCACATTTACGGCCATCACAGGGTGGAAAACCAAGGAGAAAAGTCACCTCTCACCCCAGCACCCCAGTCATCATCCCAACTCCCTTCCAGCCCTTGGCCCCCATGGGATCATCCCAGCACTGTTGCCATTCTGGACCTTTCACACGTGCTTTGCCTCATATTTGCTTCATTTTAATTCATGGACTGACAGATTGGCTATTTCTGTGGATGACGCTTCTTTCCTCCTGTATGATCTCCCTGAATGTGAATGCTGAGTCAAAGGATGTGGCCACAGTATGGCCTGTGACAGAGACTGCCATGTGGCTGTCAGCAGGGCTGCTCCAGTTCTCAAGCCCTAGCATATGAGAGCAGGCTGCACTGCTGCTCTAGTGCATGTCTTAGATTCCTCGTTCCAACCTCAATACTACTGATATCTGAGGGTGGAGGGGGCCCCTGGGAGGCAGGTGATAGGGAGTTGAGGTGGTTCCTGGGGAGGGCCCAGTGAAGGCGGGCTGTTCCACTGTCTTAGGAAGTCTTAATATATGGATGAGCCTCTCCACAGACCGCCCAGCCCTGCTCTCCCTCCTGGTCTAGAGATGGGCCTAGGAAAACCAATAGTGTGTCCTCAGGGTCAAGGTGGGCCTGCCCATGGTTACCTCCCAGGGAAGAATATAATTTGGACCATTTTCCTGGCCTCCTAGGGAAAGAGGGTGCCCAGGGCCAGTGCCAGCCAATTAGGAGTCAGGGCCATGCCTTTCGTGCCCAGGTATCTAGTCCAGAGCTCTGGCCTTCCAATGGACTAGTCTCTCCTTAGATCCCAAGAGAGTAGTTCCAGTTCACTCCCAGGGGACTGAGGGCTCAGACTTGCCTGAGTCATTGGAGCAGTCCCCCCATAGCTCTCCTACCTGATTCCAGCCCCCAGCAGGCTACCAGCACCACTGTCCAGATCTGAGCCTAATTGGATGGAAAACTAGGGCACAGGGAAAACCCAAGTGGCCCTCACTGCAGGGTCTCCTCATGGGTGGCTGTTGGGTGGCCATGGCCTGGGCTTAAGGCTGTCAGGGCAATGAGGGCAGTTACTCCACGTGCTACAGCCACCTTTCCACCTGTATCCTTCCCAAGTTTCCCATTTCCCAGGAAAGACACCAGAGCCTCTCTCTCAATCTGTTTCTCTAGAGTTGAGCCAGATGCTCTGAGGTCCTCTAGCTTGACAAAGACCCTGAACGTAGGCTGTGGTCTGGCCTGTGGGGCTAGAGTCCACCCTGCCTTTGTGGACTCTGTGGCCAAGAGAGTGAGGCACCTGTCCAAGGTGACACAGTAAGCTAGTGGCAGGCCAGACTTGTGTATACCCTGCTGTCTTGAACACGGCAATGAGATGACAAGGATGTATGTGCAAGCCCCCAACCCTTTACCATTAGGGGCCTCAGGCTAAGAAGAGGCTGGGGCAGTGGAGGTCTGTCAGGTCTTCCTGCCAGCGTGTCTCAGGAATCCCGTCCTGCCATGCACCCCGCAGACTCCACTGCTAGTCACAGAGGAGTGGCCTTGGAACCCTGAGCACCCTTGTGATGTGCCCAAGGGACAGGAGCTCACAGCCTCTGGGGACTGGACTGTGGGCTCTCAGGGCTGAAACCACCCTTGGCCCTTGGCTCCATACCAGCCTTGATACCTGACCCTGAGTCACAGGGCCGCTCTCCATGTTCTGAGATAGTTTCGCAACTTCATTCTGTCTCACTTGCTGACCTCCACCCTGATGTGGCCCTTCAAGGTGGAGCTAAGCAGGGAATGTCCTGGGCATTCTAGGACAAGGGATGAGCGTGGGCAGGGCTGTGTTGGGTCTGTGCACTGGCAGCAGCGCAATCCGAAGCTTTACAGCTTGGCCAGGTCTGTCAATGGGGAGAAGTTACAGACTCACTGCAGGTCTGGCCTGGGCCAGTTTGTGGTTGCAGCTTGGTACCTAATTATATTCCAGAACAATAGATCTCTATCTTTCCTGGTTTGGTGAAGGAGCTCATGGTCTGAGAGGTTTGGAAGGAATACAGGAATATAGGAAGCTGTTTAGATTATGGGGTAATCCATGGTCACCTCCAATAAACTATTCAAATGATTAGAGTTTGGGTTAGAATTGAGCATAGGGGATCAGAGGTTGGTAGCCCAGTCTGGCAGCACCTTAGGACCTGAGCAACTGGCAGATTCACCACAGACAGGGCCCTGGGGTCTGGGGGTGTGAGAGCATTAGTAGTTGGGGAGGGGGCTGTTATGCCAACAAGATACTGGAGGGTGTTTGAGCGGCTTTGCAGGCCAGATGAGGGCTTTACTTTGAAGTCAGATAGCTCTTTGCTGGTCTATAAGAAGCTGGGGGTAAAGATGTCCCTAGCCCCTGTGGGCACCCCACCTTCTCTGGGTTCCCCACCATGCCCAGTCCTCTGTGAGTAGCCTGAAAGTCCCCATTCCCTTGAGCCATTTACCAGGGCTGACCCTTCTGTGGCCACTCTGAGCCCTCGAGGGATGGGGATGAATTAGACTTAGAACTCCCCAGGATCTGTAGTAGAGACCAAAGGAGGGAAGGCCTCAAGCCTTGGCCCTTGGTCTGGGGGTGGGTGGGTGCTGACTGACACTGGGGAGAGGGGTCTGGGAAAGGATCTGATTTGAGTTCTGAAGGACACAGGGAGAAAGGGGGCCAGTAACAAGCTGCACAGACACTGATGGAGCCTCTACTGTGTATCCAGTGGCACTGGAGGTGCAGCAGAGGGGCAGAGGAGGTGGGGTTCCCACTTGCCCTCCCAGGTCTCTCCTCCTGGGAGACCTCTGGCCCTCCAGATCTGGAGCCCTGGTTATGGGGCCATCAACCCCAGCCCCCTTCCCCTTCCAGTCTATCAAGTTCCCAGGGAGACTGGACACTGTCATGAATGGCACTCACCACTATTTCCATACCCCGGCTTTATTGAAGCAGCAGGTGCTGATGTATCAGTTACAGACATATTTCCTCAGGCTCACCCCCTCCCCATGACCCACCTGCGTCCTCATCTGCCAGCCCAGGGCCGGCAAACTCCCACCTATCCCAGCTGTAAATTGTTCTTGAGGCTCTTCCAATCCCTTTTTCTGCAGCTCTAACCACGTACACCAGGCTCCTGTCTCAGAGGCTGCCCTCGATCTTTTTACATGATTTCCATCCTTCTATGGATATGACAACACTCTGTAAGGCTTCCTTGAACTGTGAGAAGTTACTTTTCTCAGTAGTACAGTTCTTGGGTGATTCTGTTGGCTAAATAAGAAATACATATTTAAGTCATCTTCTTAGCAGAAAAAAATAAAAGCAAACTCTGTTCTCCCAGCCACAAGGGTGCTGTACGCCCCCCATCCCCTAGGAGGTAACTCAGGTAGGCCCTCCCCATCTGTCTTAGGGAGAGCATTGGGGGCCATCTGGTGATGGTGGGGCCCAAGGTCTAGGACTATGTATAGCCTTGAGGAGAGAGCCGGCAGGGTGTGGGCAGGTCCCACAGCTGCCTAGGACAGGGACACAAGGATGAGCAGGGAGAGAGCACACAGGGGACTGTGTAAGCAATGGGCAGACAGAGGAGCTCCTCCATCATTTTCCCCACAACATGCCTCCCTAAACCACTGTCCATCCCCACATCGTGGGCTCCCAGTGGGGCTCATCAGCCCAGAAGGGACCCCAAGGGCAGGGCAAACCAGAGCCAGCTTGGCCTGGCTCCCCAACTGGGGTTGACATTCAGTGGCCTTCCCTCTCCTCAGGCTGAGTCCATGACCAGCCCTTCTCTGACCTGTCTCAGACCTGCTCCACACTTACCTCTGTGCATGGGGGCTTGGCAGAGGGTGTGACAGAAACCTCCAGAATGAATCCCCACTCCCCTAAGCCCCAACACATGTCAGTGAGTAGACTTTTTTTGGATCATAAAGTAGTACCTGAGGTCTCACATGTGGCAAGTGGGGGCCATAAGAAGCCCTTTGCTTTACTGGGCCCCTGGCTGTGGTGGCAAGAGAAATGATGTCTCAGGTTCCCCTAAGAGCAAACAGCAACTTACTTTCAGCTTTGGGCAGATTCTGGTGAGTTCTTTCATGTCCTTATAAACCTTTTGTATATGTTGGTCCTCCTTGTTTGTAGTGAGTTCTTTCAGGGTAGAGATGAAGTCCTTTGTAAACTCCCCATAGCAGGGCTCCTGAAACAGGGTTGGGGGCACTGGGATGGTGGTCGTGCACAGCAGGGTGCCAGCTGACCCCCATCCTCATCCATCCCTGGTCACCCTGGCCAGATGGAACCCTGGACTCAAATTCAGGCCCTATCCTGATTCTCCCACAGGAGGCCTGTGGGTCCTGTGAGCTGTGCAGTGGGTGTCTGGTCTCTCCGCAGACCCAAGGCTGCTCTGGAATGGTGATTGGAGAGCCCAGCAAAGCCTAGGACCTGGCCACTGGTTCGTCTGTTGCCTGAGCTGGAGGCTCTATCCTCAACCTCGCAGCTTTCTCTCCAGAATTCTTGCTTCAGTGTCTTTTGTTCTTATCTCTGCCCTGGGTTCCAGCTGGGGTGATCCCTTTCAAATGTGGTCAGAAAGGTCCATGGGGTGACTGCTCCTTACCTCACTGGTGTTCTGGGGCCTTTTGAAGGAACCCTGGAAGAAGGAAAAGTTGGTCAGAAGCACAAAGGGCCACTGAGAGCAAAGTGATGTTTGATGAAGACCCAGACTTACGTTGTATATAATGTTGTCAGCCGCAAGTTCTTTCTGAATCTCAGCGCAGACTGCTGTGTGATTGTCATGGGGAGACACGCCGTCTATCTTCATTGGGGTGGAGTGACTTTCCAAGCCCCAGAGCACACAAGCCAGGAGCACGTACAGGTACATGGTATGACTTGAGGGTGGCTCCAAGCTGATCCGAGCCCTGGGCTTGGCAGCGTTTCTGTGGAGAGGGGTACCTATATATGTGAGTCTAAGGAAATGCTAAATCTCTTATCAGTTATCACTGGCTTACGTGGAAGACAGACAGGACCTTATCGCTGGGCAAGATGTGCTTTTCATGCATTTTCTATGACCACAGCACACTTCATGGATTCTTGTCTTTGCTGAAATTCAGACTTGTCTAAGAATTTTTGTTCATAATCACATCTTGAGTCATGACCTTTCTGCCTGCATGTGGGGCAGGTCTTTGCCAAGACAGGTTCTGTCTTCAGGTGCTGGCCAGGGCGGAGAGAGCAGGTAGATGGAAAGAGAGCCAGGCAGGGGCTAAAGTTGCACCAAGCCAGCTTTCCCAAGCCCACCCGTCAAGGAGAAGTCTGGCCCGGCTGCCCACCTGACATCTGGGGACACACCCACTTACCTTGCACTCCTCAGGAGGGACACAGGGGAACATGTTTGGGAATATCTGGCTGGCAAAGCAAGAGGAGAGAGGATAGCTACTATTTCCTTGGCCTGAAGGCCATGGATTTTAGGGGAAAGTGTCTAACTGGATGCAAAACTTCATGTAAAAACAAAAATCAGCTCAGGAGAATGCCACACTTGAGCCATGTGCCAACAAACTATGAGCTTACATTCTGACTTTCAAAGATTAAGATCACCCATTTAGGGGAAAGTTTGGTAAATATTGCTGAGCTCTGACCCCTGTGGTTTGGTTTCTTTTTCCATGAATAGCTAGTCTATCTGCTGGTTCACTTTAGGAGTGGTTGAAGCCCTGAGTATGAGGGGCAGGGTGTGGCTACAGGATCTGGGGCTCTGAGGGGTACAAGTGTTTTGCCTGATGCAAGGGCGGGCCTGTTCAGCGTGACCAGCCAACTCCCAGCAACCCCAGGCCTGCCTGGGAAGGACGATACCCCTCTTCTGGGCCAAGGTTTCTGCTGGCCAGGTCCCTTCGACTTTTAAGTGAACCTGAAAACCTCTCTCTGGGATGGAGCCATTGAGCACCCAGGGAAGCGTGTCCTGGTGTGCAGAATGCTGCACCCAAGCCAGCTGTCGCCTCCCGTCTTCTCTGACTGCCCCTTGGACAGTGCCTGACCTGCCACAGGCCCTCCCCTGCCTTGCAACTTCCTCCCTTCCCTTCCCTGTGAGGAGAAAAGAGTCACCAGCATTTGCTCATGGTTGACAACAAACTGGAAAACAGCACAAATAACGGATTTTTAATAATTTATTCTAATGGTAAAACATCTTGAATAAATATGGAGTATGAGCTTAAATAAATAAATAAATAAATATTAAAATACATAAATATATAAATAAATATTACTGATCCCCGCCAGTGTAAAATATCCCCTACTCCCCTACCACACCCATATCGTGGTCAGTACGGCCCAGAGCAAGTCCATGTTCTCAACAGCCATGGCCCACCCTTTGGTCCCTCCAAGCTGAAGATCCTGAGTTTCGGTTCTTTGTGAGTGGGACAGCAGCAATCTGTGAGGTGAGCTCCCAGGGCTAGCTCCTAGCTGGAAGGCCTGCCTTACTTCTGGGCTGGCTCCAGCAGTCAAACGGGATCTCAAACAGAAAATCCTTCAGGTTCTTTTTGAAACTTTTGAAGGTGATCATCTGGGTTGCACAGGAAGTTTCCTTTAAAAAAAAAAAAAGAAAGAAAACTTGAGTCCAGACGTGAGTGGGTAACATGGGGGAAGTACCAGCATGTTTTCTGTGCTGCCTCTTAGAACTAAGAGGCCAGAAGGCCCTTCTGGGGTCCTCCTGCTGACCTGGGTCAGGTAACATGTTGCTACCCATGTGCCACTCAAAGGGTGCACAGCTCTGCCAGAGTCAAGGGCCTGACAAAATGCCAGCCTGAGGCTGATTGGCTGGGCACTTGGGCCACCGCCTCTTTGGTCCCAGGCCAGGTTGAGGCTCCTCCCGGATCCCAAAAGGGGCAGGAGTCAAGGCCACACACCTCCCTCCCTTCCCATAGGAAAGGAATGTTTGGGGCCTTTGTCCATTCCGGGTATGCTCCCCTCCTTGCTCCCATGCAATCCAGCACCCACAAGGGGCAAGAAGAAAATCCTGTCGGGAGGTAGCACTTGGGCCCCAGAACTTCCTCTGGATCTTAGGCAGGCCCTGAGTTTTCTTGGGTTTGCCTCACCTCTGACTTCATTAATGACAACAATGATAATGAGAATGGTAGCAGCTCCCGCTAGGGAGCGCTGTAGGCTCCTGAGCTCCGTAGCTTTAACTCCTAGAGCTGAAAAAGGGCTGGACTGCTCCCTCTCGGGAAAAGCTAATCATTACAAATCTGTTAAGACAGAAACCCCTTGGGATCCTGAACAGCCACAGCCAAAGGTCTCTCCCTACCCAGTCCTCCACTCTCCTAGACTGAGACCTTCCCGCTTGGGGTCCAAATGTGGGCACTCACCAGGGTGGGGGGGCAGTGCTGCTTGTAGTGGCTGGCCATCATGGTCAAGGGGCCTTCGAGCTTGATGAGGCTGCCCCGCAAGCCCTGTTTGTACAGCTTCAGGCGAGTCTGCAGGCATGTCAGCTCCTGTGGGAAACGTCCGTTTCTTGGTAAGCAGTGGCCAAGTGCCCTTCGGTGGGCACAGGACACCTTCCTTATCATTCTTTCCTGTTCTCATCTCTGTCCTCCACCAGTAGGGCCTGGGAGGGGCACTTGATTCCTGACTAGTCTCAGGCTGGGTCCAGTCCCACGTACTACCCTGTCTCCCTGTCCACTGCAGGCATGAGTCTGACTCCTTCTCGCCGTTCAGCTCAGGCCACCCTCAGCCAACACAGTCACATTCCCTTGGTCTGGCATCTCAAGAAGGTCCCAGCCCCCAGGAAATGAGGTCACTATCCCCAAACCATTCAGGGAGAAAGGAACGGGGCGGGACATCACTTGGACTTGCTCTGTGAGTAAGGCTTGTTCCTGAAACCCCTCTGTGCCCCTCCGTAGCCAGCACTGTGTCTCCACAGAGCTCACTTTCAGGGCACATCGAGTGCCCCAACTCCATAGCCCCTGTCTCACGAAGTAACTTCCGCTTAGTCAACTGTTCTCTGGTCACCCCTGACCCCTTGAATGCTAGGTCTGTCCATGGCTGCTCAGCTAATAAAGGAGTTCACATGATTGCCACAGGGGCAAGGCCAGTGGTCTCCTGGGCACTCCTTCTGACAGCCTGCTGACTGGAGAGAAAGTGGACAACCCTGTGAGGGTCCTTCTAAAATGGAGCCACCCCCTAAGGCAGAGGCCTCTGGGAAAGTGTGTCAGAGAGAAGCATCTTACCTCGGCGTCAAACGTTTCAGAGACGACTTCTACTGTTTCATTCTGTAGAAAGGGAAAATGTCATGTTATCAAACTGACAGGCAGGGCCAGTCGGGGCCAGCAAGGTGGCCCAGGCACAGCCCGTGCTCCCTCCCTCACTCACCATGATAGCAGCAGTGTCACTACTGTTGTTCAGAAGGCTCAGGGCCTCCTTGATGGCATCCACATGCTGCCAGGGCCGAGTGACAGGGCTGGGTTGGCGGGTGGGTGCGGGCATGCTGTAAACCACAGTGCCCAGAAGAAGCAGGTTCTGCAGCCACATCCTCCTGAGGACTTTAGCCTTTCTTTCTGAGCACTGGGCTCACTGGCAAAAGAGCTCTTATATACACAGTTAGAGGAAATGATTAATGGTGACCACAAAACGCCAGGGAGGCGGGGGAACTACCTGAACTGTGGAATCTCCTGGCCCTTATCAGCTACACATGGGAACCATGAGCCTTTCCCCGAGGTGGTCAGGCTCGGGGGTTTTCATTAATGAGCCCTTCCAAGAATTGGCAGCCCACCTGCCCGCCTACTTGAGCGCTCTCCAGCCCTCCCTGGGCAGTCTGACCTGCTGAGGCTGCCCCCTCCCTCTGAGGGGCCTCTGGGCACAGCTTGGACTTCCTGGCCTGGAGTGGCAGGGGCGGGGCCTGGGAGACACTGAATCCAGCTCCTATTCCCAAGATCCCCCAATCCTGCCTGTTATCCCAAGAGGCCTTTGGGCTGGCTGTGCCCACCAGGGGCTTATTCCAACCCCAGCCTTCGCTTCCTCCTAAAGCCCTCTACTCTGGCCACAGTGAGAGATTTGAGTATGAGGAGGACTCTCACAGACTTACCCCTCTGTCCACCTAGGCAGATTCCAGCCAAATGGCATAGTCATGCAACAGCTCCCACCAAGGACCCAGAGCAGTCGACAAGCTCACCCCAGCCAGGGACCTCTGCCCTACAGGCGCTGTGAGCAGAGAATGACAACCATGCACACATCCAGCCAGCAAGATTGCGGTGTTTCTTCATGGTGAGATTCCATCTGACAGAAACAGTCCTGGTTTACACAGCCATATTCAACCCCCAAGCTGCACAGGTGGGTTGGGGCTCTAAGCTTGGGCAGGTCAGGGCCTTGAGTTAGAATCCTGACTCCAGCACTCTTGCTGAGTGACTTCCCTTGGAGCTATGTGAGCCTTGCCTCCCTCTGCAGGGCAGACTGCCTCTCCGAGGTGGGCACTGTGCTCCTACCTACAGCCCCCAGCAGGCACCAAGAGCTTCAGGGGCTGGCTTCGGTGTCATGGCTGCATCCACACCAGGTACAGGAGATGACAGCTTCTCAAACAACGTCGTCCAGGCTTAATTTCCTACGTGGCCCCTGCCCCAGCCCACCTCCAGCTCCAGAGGCCTCTCTGTGGAACAGGAACTGCTTCTGGGAAAACCACAGGCTCTTGAGGGACTGATAAGTGTTTGATTTTCACAATGGAGTTTGGAGAGGACAGCGTGAGTTTGTGTTTGCTCTGAGTTTCAAGGCCGCAGGGGTGTGGGTCCACATGTGTGTTTCTGAGTGTCGGTGTGCCGGTGTGCCTGGCTGTGTCTTACAGGTGTGTAGAAGCGGGGAATGTTTTATATGAGGTCATCCATGTGAACCCCCATGCCTCTGAAGGTGCCCCTCTGATATGGGGGAGGATAGGATAGGGGGGAGTGTTTGGGGCACAGAGAGATGAGATGTTTGTGGGCCCCTGAGGCTGATTCAGCCTAGATGATGGAGTTAGACACAAGCGAGGACATTCTGCTGGGCTCAAGTGGACAGCCCTTGAGAACAGGTAGAACTCATGGTCTGAGTACCATGACCCAAGCCTGCAGCCCGGGCAAGTTTCACTGCATGGTGGAAGGGTTGCTACCCTTACATAGAGAGGCCAGGCCTTAGTCCTCCAGACCCCACTGGGGGTCCCTGCCAGGATCTAGAGCCTAACGTGAAGCCAGCCCTGCCCTTCTGAGCCTGGTGGAACATTCCTAGGTGGCCAGGCTGGGAGTGAGAGTCTGGACATGCTCCAGACCCTGGCCCTTCCTCCACCTTTTCCTTAAGGCCTCTGCTCAGCCCCTTCCAGGGAGCTCTCAGCGGGTACAAGAGGGGTCAAGGATGCAGCGACTTTTCCCTGGGAGCTATGTGAACCTTGTCTCCCTCTGCAGGGCAGACTCGCTCTAGATGCAGATGCCACACAGAGTGGAGGTCTGTGTCAGGCAGTGCCCTGGAGGCTGGGTGGTGTGGGGTGGAGGCCATAGGCAGTGGCTTAGTTGGTGGTCGGGGAGGCAGAGAGATGATTTGGCCCCACTGAGAGGGAAGATCACTTTCCCCCTGGAAATGAGTGGTCACACTCAAACAGTTAGTCAACAGACTTTTCCAGTCTGCACTGGGCCCTGTGCTGGGGAGGAGGTAGGTAGGACCCTCCCATTAACCCTCACATCTAGCCCTGGAGGCTCTCAGTCTGATGGGGGAGATAGCAGTGTACCCTCCCATTGTGTGGTCCAGGCTTGGATAGGGGAAGTTCAGAGCCGGGGGATCTCAAGGAACCACTTCTTCCAGTTTAGGGGCTCAAGGGGACCAGAGAGCTTCCTGGGAGATGCTGCCTCCCAACACAGGCTGAAAGGGCAAGTAGAGTCACATGGGCAAGTCAGGTTGTGGGATGGAGGGGGAGGATGGGATAGTGGAGAGTGTTTGGGGCACAGAGAGGCAGAGGGTTTTAGGAGCAGGTGTGGTGAAGAGGAGGCAGGTTCTAGAGAGATTTGAGAATCTGGAAGGACTTGGTGATATAATGGACTCATTCATTCAATATTTATTGAGCACCTACTAGGTTCCCTGCAGGGGAAGAGGGATAAAAGGATGACGGAAAACAGAAAACAGACAGGGTCCTGCCGTATGGACGCTGTAGCCCCGTGGATGGAGGAGCAAGATTAATCCACTCACCACCCCCCCCCCCAAAGTGTGCTTTTGAATGTAAGTAAGAAGAGTTAGAACCATTGTCCAGGTGTCTAAGGTGGGGACCCAGGGGACGAAGGAGCAGGTCTGCACGGTCTAAGGGCCCACAAGAAGGTTCTGTAGTTTGGAGGCTGCATGCACAGGGGACAGATCTGGGAGTGGTCCATGTCTGCACAATCGCTAAGGCCACAGAGGGTTATTCAGGAAGAAGGGCTGAGGGCCAGAACAGTGATGCTTAATGGCCAGGGGCACGATAACTGGGTGAGAGACTCGCCAGTAGCCAAGGGTGCTGGGAGAGCAGGAAAGCAAGAACAATAAAGAGAGGTCCATGCCAGTGGTGTGGCCCATGGGCGCCGAAGTTAGCACGTAAAGGACAGAAGTCCATAGGTTTGGAAATGAGTTTTGTGGTCAGCCACACATCTTCTGGAAAGATGACATCAGGGCTGAGGCCATGACACGAGCAGGCATTCCTAGATTGCACTGCATGGAAAGTGGCAGCGACAGCAGCCAGCAGCGCGCTGACTCAGGGGCCCCGATAGGACTGTGGGAGGGCGGGGGCGAGGACCGTGATGGACAGTGTGACTCCTCTTTGGCCCCCTGCCCACACAGTCAGGAGAAAACCCTCTGGAAGGGGTTTCCTGTGGGTGTCCCTCCCACAAGTTCTGGAGGAAACAGGGGCTTGTGGCCACACCAGATTCTTATCACGGAGGAAGTTATCACAGGAGAAGGAAATGGGCCTCTGAGTGCCGCGCAGCCTGTGGGAGCTGTGCATGGGCATCTCAGCTCATCTCATCCTCCTTGGGCCTGCGACCCCTTGGTGAGGGTCCTTGTCCTCACTGGAGACTTGAGGCCCAGGAGACCGATGGCCTGCCCAGTCCACACAATCAATGATGGAGGAGATAGGATTTGAACCCATATCTGTTCCTGCTCCCCTGATGTCTTCTACTATTTCAGGGATCAGAAAGCCAGGAAACGCTGGTCACCTGGCTAGACGAGCAGAGGGATGTCCCCCTCAGGGCGGCTGTAAAGGGAGACTCCTCCTGGTGTTGACAGGGAAGCTAGAGTAGCCTGTGACTGACTATCCCAGGGAAGCCCTGGGGGCCCAGGGAGAGTTTCTCCAGCAGAGCCTACCACCCAGGCATCTCTATGTCTCCAGCTCAGGTTTGGGCTCTCCACCACTGATCCATGGATAGCCCAAGAAAGTTCCTCCTCTCTGAGCCTTAGCTCCTTCATCTGTTCAATGGGTTTCATTATCGTTGCCTCACAGAGGGAATTGTTGCCTGTCCCAGGAAACTTTGGAGGGGAGTCCTCCCAGGGAGGAGGCAATGTTTCAACCTTCCCTCCCCTCTCCCCACCCCTTTGGGGGGTTTCTGAAACCCAAACTGGGCAGAGGACTCAGCCTTGCTGGAATTTTCAGGGGTGGCTGCCTCTTTCCCAGCCCCAGCCCCACATAGCATCTTTCTGGACAGATGTTGGAGGGTGGAGCACCCAGCCTTCCCCCAGATTTGGGGTGTATGGGGTCCTGCATCACCCTCTGGAGACCCTGGTACAGAGATGCACCATGAGTGGCTCATCCTTCCCTGAGAGGGGGGTCCTGGTCGATTCACGCCACACCAGACACACAAAGCCAAATCTCTGGCCTTTGTGGTCACAGCTCCAGGCTGACCCCTCCTACATCGCCTCTGTCTAGGTCCCCAGAGAGGTACCTTAAAAAAGTCGGGCTGTCCAGGCCAAACCCCAGTTCTGGTCCTCCTCACTGGGTGTCCCCAGGCCCCTGGCACTGGTGAGTCCTGACTGGTGTGGGAGGATCTGAGGGTTGTTACGCTCAGTAACAACCATGTGTGGACTCTGCATCCATCCAGCCAAGCTTTCAGGAGGGCCTTGCATGTACAGCTGACCTCACAGCCCCCTTCACCCAGAGCTCGTGTCTGGTGGTCACATGGGCTAGGGCCCAGGGAGGACGAGGCCCAGGCTCATAGGCACAGTGTTGAGGGCACCAACAAAGATGTGCGCAGAGAATGAACAGCCAGGAGGGGCAGTCATGAAGTAAGAGGGAAGTAAGTTAAGAGAAGGACTTGAGGGCACTCAGATGTGTGGGTTTGGGGCAGGAGGTAAATGAGGAGTCTCTGAGACTCGGGGTTTTGGTTCAGGCAGCTGGGCAGACAGTGGGCCATTTGCTGTGATGGGGGAGATCCAAGGTAGCAGAGAGGTTTGGGGGGTCAGTCCGGACTGAATTGTATGTGGAAAGTTTGAGAGCCAGGAGACCTCCAGGAAGACAGTCAATTGTGACAACATGGGCGCAGAGGTCAGGGAGAGGTCAG